CATTTAAAATGGTTTACTACTTTTCTCCTACCTACTGTTCTGTGGTCAACAGGCCGGCTTCCACTCTCCCAACTCCTAATTGGGATTCACCAGAGGAAGCCAGACTTGAAGTTACATGTGAACACTGAGCTTGAACTCTGGCCACCTTCCGTGAATCCTTTGGTACCTTGAACCAACATGTTGGACGAAGGTATGAATAAGACCTGCCTGGAAGTCAGTCACATTCCATGGTCAGACTAGGATCCCACACACCAGTCTGTCAAGCTGGGTCTCAGGATGTTTGAGGAAGTCAGTGCCAATGCACTTAGCAAATAAGAAACAGGATTTAGTGCAATTTAATCACCATACGGATGACTTGTGGATACATGGACAGTAAACAAAACACAAAACAGCATTTTTTTTTTAAAATGGCACCTATTAAAGACTGAAACTCAAAATTTGAGGCAATCATCCAGTCCTTTAAAAGTCCATGAAGAGTGAATTATAAGGCACTTGTAGTGTTTCTGCTGCTACCTGGAAGTGGCGGCAGGTGCCCTCAAACCCAGCCTGTTGGGAGGGAGGGTCAGCGCTCCACCACATCCGACTGCACACGGCTACCACGTTGGTCCACAGGACGTGCTCTGGCCAGCTTGGCTGCCCTCATGTTCTCTAGTCTGTGGCTAAATGGCCGCACATTCAATACAGAAATGGGTCTCTTCAGGAAGCGATGGCCTGCTTGAGACCTCAAAGGTTGGAATGCAGATGGCTGTGTCCATTTTGAACGAAAAGGGCAGTGTCAGAGTGGGATGACCCGGTTGGTCGTCCACTGTAGAAGCCATCACTTCACTTTGTCCTGGGGTTCGGGACCAGCTTTCTATGTGGACGCAGAGAAAACTGGGTACGAGAGACTATGCTACAAAGAGAATAGTGTCGGGGACTGCTTGCAACAAGCTCACAAGTTTGTGCTACTGGTCTTTATACCAAGCCAGCCTGCAAAGGCGCTGGCCTCTGCTGGCCGCCTGACCTACTCAAGTCTTCAGGCTCTCAGCCCTGCCTCTTTCCCATTGTCAACCCTGCTGACTGGAAGTCAGTAGGATGAGAATTCATTGTTGATACACAGAGGAGAAGACCAGGGCTGTCTAGTAAACAGTAAAAGACTACACACCCACAATGGTTTTCCTAGTGTTGGAAAACTGACGCTACTTCAGAAACCAAGTGGTCCCTTGCTTTTGGTCCAGTATTATGGATGTTGCCCTGAGTGGGGAGAGCAGTGCATCACCTCCCAGAGCTCTTGTCAGAGGCCCAAGGAAGGCTCCTCAGGCTTGCATGAAAACTACTTTGCTGCGGTGGAGGTTTGACAGGATCCAAGTTATCACCGGGGGGTGGGGGGGCGGGGGGGGGGGAGAAAAGTGCTTTTGCAAAAGGAGCAGGTTAGAAGGGGGAGGTAATGGGGATTCTTACAAAGAAAACCTCAAATCCAGAGGCTTATCAATATCCAGAAGGCAGAAGCTACCCCAGGCACAATTTGGTCCTTGGAATACTGAGTAGAGGAGGCAGCTAGTGTGAGTGCCTGACTCCTGAGATTAATTAACCGTTCTTTTTGGCTTTGGCAGTGTCAAAGAGCCGGGCTGCCTTCTTGCACAGCAGTGAGAACCAGTAGAGCTGGGGAGAGATGAGGATGGCATTGGCCACATTGCAGTGCATAGGAATATTAAACGGCACTCGGAGTATGCTTATTCCTTTGTACTGGCCATAGGACCAGTACATGTAGGGGAAGAGAAGGATCCGGCAGAAGAGGAAGGTGGTCAGCGTGAGGATTCCATTGACCTTGTAAAGAAGGGTATGCTGCTGCTTCAGCTGCAAGGAAAAAGGAAGGAGAAGACAAGGTCACCAAGAGGATGGGTCATCGGGTACGGAACCCAGCCTTACCACAGTCAAGCAGGTTCTTGTACAAGTCAAGGCCTACAGCGCTAAATGGCTTGGCACTTAGACAGACAGAGACACACACACAAGCAGGTATGCAGGCCCATGCATGTCCCCATGGAGACCAGAAGATGCTAGTTGTCACCCTCTCACTCTCTGGGGACAGGGTCTCACTGAACCCAGAGCTCACCCTTTCAGCTAGGCTGCACACTCAGCCATGCCTAGCTTTTACAAGAACCAAGATGGTATTTGCTTCTGGCCCAGTATTATGGATGTTGCCCTGAGTGTGTGTGTGTGTGTGGGGGGGGGTAACACTGCTTTGGTGCAGTAAGCTGTCTTGCCCACTGAGCTCTCTCTTCAGCCATCATATACAGCCTCATAAGTTTACCAAAAGTGATGCTGAATTTGACCCAAGCCACCTCTCTTATAGGTGTATAAGAACAAGTGTGTGTGTGTGTGTGTGTGTGTGTGTGTGTGAGAGAGAGAGAGAGAGAGAGAGAGAGAGAGAGAGAGAGAGAGAGAGAGAGAGAGAGAGAGAGGTTCCTCCACCTGGTCTGGATGATGATGTAACCTGTCAAAGAGTCTCTTCTCCTGGCTCTAAGATCTCACCAAACCCCGGTCTCCAGAGACAGGGTAGGATCTGTCCCCTCCGCCCTCACATCTGCGGTTTTACTCACACATACCTGAATCAGAACTCTGCCCAGCGACACAAACGGAGTACTCAGTTCTGCTGTGAAGATGCAGCCGACAAAGAAGTCTCCAAGTTCTCCACGGAGCTTCTGCAGAGAGAGAGAAGAAAGGTGACTGAGATGTAGAGCTTCAGAAACCACCAGAAGGAAAATCCTAACAGGCTATAGGGAAAAGATAGCCATGAGACCCTGAAGGGAGAAAAATGTTAACAGGCAAGTGGCCATCCAGTTAATATCCTGTTGCTTCCCTGCCAATCATGTGGGGAGGACCCAAAGTCAAATGCAGATAGGCTCACTGAGTCCTACAGCAGAGCAGGCTTTGTCTGATTTTAGGGACAATAGGGAGGAACTCTGGTGCCTCTGTGTCAAAAGCACTGGGCCTGTTCAGTCATCGAAGTATGTGCTAGAAGGCAAAATCCTTACCGAATGGATGGAGTGCCTTCTTTTTTTCTTCCTGAAATAGCAGCCTACCTGATGGACCGACCTGCTCGGTAACACTGGACTGAGAAGACGTGGGGCAAAGAGACGGCTCAGCTGGTAAAGGCAATGGCCTGGCAACCTAAGTGGGACCCTCATACCACCTACAGCCTGTATGGTAGCAGAACTGACTTCTCCGAGTTGTCCCCTGGCCTCCTCACTTGTACACACACACACACACACACACACACACACACACACACACACACACACACACACAAAGGAAGTAAGAAAATAGAGTGTGCTGGATGTGGTAGTGCGTGCTTTTAATCTCAGCACTCTAAGACAGGAAGATGGCTACACATTTGGGAACAGTCGGGTCTACATAGTGAGATCCTGCCTCAAAAGAAAAGAAAATAAACACACGGGGCTGGAGAGATGGCTTTGTGGTGAAGAGCGCTTGCTGCTCTTCCAGGGATGAATCTGGTTCCCAGCACCATCGTCAAGCAATCCAGAACGACCTGGATCTCCAGCTCCGAGGGATCTGATGCCACTACTGACTTCCACAGGTACCCGCACACCCACTTCAATAAAATAAAGCAGAAATGACGTTGATGTCTACTGGTGGGACAGGCCTATAATTCCAGCTCCAGGAGAAGCTGAGGTCGGTGGGCTACAAGGCCAAGGTCAACCTGAGCAACTCAGACTATTTCAAAAAGTCAAAAGAGCTGGGGGCACAGATGAATGAATGGTAGGCTGCTTTCCCATCATGAGCAAGGTGCTAATTTAATTCCTGGTAATGGGAAAAAAACCAAAAACCAAAACAGGACAGGAAACAGCTCAGGAGTTAAGGACACTGGCTGCTCTTCCAGAGGACCCAGGTTCAATTCCCATCACCCATATGGTGGCTCAAATCACCAGTAACTCTGGTTCCAGGGAATCCACCTATAGTTCTGGCCTCTACAGCCTCCAGATAAGCAAGTTGTGCACAGACATACATGCAGGCAAAAACACCCATACATACACAATAGAAACAATCTTTGAAAAAGTAACAATGTGGCACATGCCTTTAATCCCAGCACTCGGAAGGCAGAGGCAGGCGGATCTCTGTGAGTTCCAGGCCAGCCTGGGTTATAGAATGAGTTCCAGGACAGCCTGGGTTATAGAGTGAGTTCCAGGACATGCTCCAAAGCTACACAGAGAAACCCTGTCTCAAAAAACAAAAAAAGAAGAAAGAAAGAAAGAAAGAAAGAAAGAAAGAAAGAAAGAAAGAAAGAAAGGAAGGAAGGAAGGAAGGAAGGAAGGAAGGAAGGAAGAAAGAAGCAAGGAAGGAAGGAAGGAAGGAGAAAGAGAGAGAAAGAAAGAAAAAGAGAGAAAGAAAGAAAGAAAGAAAGAAAAAGAAAGTAAGAAGGGAAAGAAAGAAGGAAAGAAAAGAAAGAAAAAGAAAGAAAGAAGGAAAGAAAGAAAGAAAGAAAGGAAGGAAGGAAGGAAGGAAGAAAGAAAGAAAGAAAGAAAGAAAGAAAGAAAGAAAGAAAGAAAGAAAGAAAGAAAGAAAGAAAGAAAGAAAGAAAGAAAAAGTAACAATGTTGGCTAGAGTCACAGACATTGCAGGTGCTATGGTTTTCCTCCACTGCTTGCATGGAAGACCGAACCCAATGAGGTAGTTAGCAGGAGGTGGGCAGAGCACAGAAGGGAAGGAAAAGGACTCTCGCACTCCTAAGGAATGACCAAGGTAGTTCCAGTGGCGGAATGGCTGGTGAGGCTGTTGTCCCGAGAGGCTGTACCTGTGAGACAGGTACAAGGACAAACAGGATGACCGCATGATGCGTGACCATTAGGCGGTTTTCAATCAGGAAGTTCCGGAAGATGGTGGCACGTCGGAGTTTCTGGTCTCTGGTTCGGCACCATTCACAGAGGTACATGGCGTAGCAGTCGTAGATCATGTATGGTATCAAAAACCAGACATATTCTCTGGCAAGCCAGTGCCTGAAAGAAAGCACAGGGACAGACAAAAGAGTCATGGACGTCAGTGATGGAGCACAAAGTCGGTCTCTTCACTGGCTCTCTCCAGCTCTGTTCTCAGTCAGCTAGTACTTTGGGCCCTTCCCGGTGAAGAGGGCGAACTATTAAGGAGGGTATCTCTAAATTACAAAGCAGACACGTGAGGGTCGAGGGTAAAAAGCAGGCATCCATCCTGCCTGGATATACGGGTGGTTTACTGTAACCATTCGCCGGGTTCCACCACTTATCTACAGACTTCGAGTTTTTTGATAGAAACTGACTTCGATGGAGATAAACTTCCCAGTGATTCAGCAGCTCCACCAAGGAACTGGTTTGGAAGGTCTTCTAAATCACAAGTCCAACCTTTCCAGTTTAACTCCTCAGTTGCTCAACCCTTGGGAGTTTCGGGGTTTAACTTCTAGATCTACACAATTTCTCTCGCTTCTGCATGCCCCACTGCAGACAATTTGTAGAGAGCACCCTGGCCATGTTCTTTCCTTATCTATGGTTAACTGGGGGTTCCAGTCATTCATAAAAGTATGGGGCCAGCTAGATGTGGCATAGTGGGTTAAGACGCTTGCCTGACGACCCCTGAGTTCAATCTCCAGGACCTGCGTGATGAAAGGAGAGAGTCATTTCCCGCAAGCTGCCTGACCTCCACAAGTACAACATGGTTTGTGTGCACGCACACACTAAATGCATAAATTTACTTTAAAAAGAAAAGTGTGCATAGAAATGGGTTTGGACTTCAAGGACCACAGCACAGCAACTAAATACCAAGAGAGGCTGGGGCAGAAGAGGTCCATTTCCTGGCCTGATCTGGGGCATATATGTGTTCCTATAACTTGCCCAGTAGGAGCGAAACAACATTTGCTGAGCCAAAATGATGTTTTGCTACTGTTCTAGCATACACAGGAAGGACAATGTCTGCACTGACCAACATCACACAAAAACTTCATATGAAGAAACATTTAAATTGGAATCTGCCCTATGCTAGGGAGGATTAGATTTGTTTAGTAAATTTTTTTTTTTTTTAATGGTTTTTCAAGACAGGGTTTCTCTGTGTAGCTTTGCGCCTTTCCTGGAACTCGCTTTGCAGATCAGGCTGGCCTCGAACTCACAGAGATCCTCCTGCCTCTGCCTCCCGAGTGCTAGGATTAAAGGCGTGCGCCACCACCGCCCGCCCGGCCATTCTTTAGTAAATTTTTGAGCAACCGTGTTAGAAGAGGAAACTCAGTATACAGTTCTCAAACTACCTAACCATCAGGTCACCTGAAGTGCTTGTGAAGCACTCTGTTCCCCAGAGTCTAAACCCATGTCTAGGATCCAATCTGTATGTTTCACCTTGTCTCAGGTGACTTCCCAAGGAGCCAGTCCACTGAACTGCGGCACCGGGAAGCTAGAGAGGATGCCATGTGAGGGTGCCAAGCTAGAGAGGGTGCCATGTGAGGGTGCCAAGCTAGAGAGGGTGCTAACTCTGTTCCTGAATTAGCTCCACATTTATCACAGCTCAGCTCAATCAAAAAAGAATGGAATAGAGGGAAATAATAATGGCACATAAATAATAACGTCACTTGTAGGCAAACTGATTAGCCAGCGTTTCTCAGGGCCCAAAGATCTAAGACCTGTTCTAATGCCCATCAACGGACTCACTGCTTCTCAGAGCCGTTTCAGGTAGAGCGACTGCCAAGAGCAGGTATGGCGGCCCACACCTTCAGTCCCAGCACTGAGGAGGCAGAGGCAGGCGGATCTCCGTGAGCCGAGGCCAGTCCAAACTACATAACGAGACACTGTTTCAGAAAGAAGAAGAGACATAAGAGGAAAAATATGAAATGGTGCCGGCAAGATCAACCCGCAGGAAGATCCCAGGTCACCGTGAGACAGTCTCCTTCTGGTTCCTCTTCCAGCAGGGAAACAGGCACCCTGCAGGGTGGAAAATCGGGAAAGGCCACCCAACTTTCCCTGGACACCTGCCTGTCACCCTTGAGCTTCTCGGAAGAGAAAAGAGTGGTTCAAAGAGCCAAGCGGGAAGATAGATAAATAAATAAAAACATCCTGATGTGGTGGCACGTATCTGCTCTTCCGCCCTGGGGAGACAGATGGAGGAGGAGGGCTACAAGTTCCAAGCCGGTCAGGTCTACAGATAAAACAAAAGCAACACCACTCCCCAGGTTTAAATAGGATGGCCCCTTCTGGTCTTTATTCGTCTCACTGAAGCGTCACAGACGTCCATTTTCTGGCCTGACTTTGGGCACAAAAGTGTCCGTTTTCTGAAGGCAGCAGAAACCTCTTCATTATCTTGAGCAAAGGAAAAGCAAGTGCGGCATCTGCAGGGAATGGGAGGGTGGACTTCTGCTGTCAATAGGAGTTGGCTACACACTGTGCTACTATCTCTGCTAAAGAATGTCCCAAAGGGAGGCCGAGCGGGGGTGACACACTCCTTTAATCCCAGCACTTGGGAGGCAGAGCCAGGCGGATCTCTGTGAGTTCAAGGCCAGCCTGGGCTACAGAGTGAGTTCCAGGAAAGCCACAAAGCTATACAGAGAAACCCCGTCTCCAAAAACAAAAACAAACAAACCAAAAAAGAATGTCCCGGAGGGAGAACCCAGTGAAAGCATTTCAAAGAACCAAAAGCCATACTCCTACTTATAAAGAGGGACGGTGGGACTACACTGTCCTCGAACACAACATTCTTTAGCCACGCCCAGTCTCTTGCTCTCTAACATTTTCCACACTCCCCTCGGTTCTCCTAAGTTAGGATGCAGGAAGCAATGAGAAGGCACTAATTAGGGAGCACAGGTTTTCCCACCAGGCAGTCACATACATCACAGGACGACAAAGAATATAGCGCCTGTGAGCCACTAAAATGTGAAAACGCTGGGGGATGGGGAATCCCTCAACCCGGGTATTTGCACTTCCACCTGGGATGGGACATTACCTGTCTGTGACCACGTCGCTGCAGGAGCCGATGATGATGAGCCCCGCCCAGGTGGCCAGCACTGCTTGCACCGAGGACACCAGCCTGAGGTGGGGCAGAGAAGAGAAACCAAAGAAAGCGTTCTTACTCCATGACTGCGGACAGCACAAAGCCCCACTCTCCAACCTGCTTGTCCCGGGCCGAGGCGCCCTCCGGGGCGGCCATGGCGTCGCGATGCCCCGAGCGGGGGGTAGCAGGCAGGGAGACGCACACGCCCTTCCCGATCGGGCCCGCCCCGCACCGAGGGGCGCTTCCCGCCGCCCCCTTTCCGCCTGCAACCCCGCGCAGGCCCGGAGCGGAGGGCAGCGCCCCGCCAGGGCGGTCGGCTGGGCCCCCGCGGTACCTGGTGCCGACCGTCAGGCAGTCGTTGTCCGTCCATCCCGGCCGCGAGCGGCGCAGCGCCCAGGTGCTGAGCGCGAAGAGCCCCGGGAAGAAGAGCGCGCCGCTGGCCAGCGTCAGCAGCATCGGTGCGGGTGCGAGTGCGGCCGCTCGCTGCGCAGCGTGCTTGGGGCTGGCGGCTCGGCGGCGCGGCCCGCTCTC